ACAAACAGTCCGATACTACTACTACATACTCCATTCTACCCTCACTCGTGAACAAGACCAAGACCTCACGATACTTGAACTCCTTCAGTCGGGGCAGCGACTCACTCCCAAACCGCAGGGAGTGATCCACCTTTTTCCGGCAGAGAATCATGGCCTCAGACATGGAGCTACTGATTCTCATCCCAAATGCTTAACATTCGACTGCAAACCGCTGCTGGATGCACATCTGATAAAGCCAACATCATCTGTAAAGAGCAGAGAAACGGTCCATATCAGACACACCTTCCCTTGGCTGCCTCTTGAGATCTTATCCATGAAAATCATAGAATCTGTCCCGGTACCCTGTATTCTAAATCCATAAAAACAGATGAAGACTGTAGTGACGGGGTAAAGAGCTGGTCCAGCCCTCCTGGATATTGGGTTCAATAAGCATGCAAAGCTTTCTTTCCAGCACCCTGGCAAAAGCTTTCCCTGGTGGCAGAGCAGTGAGATACCCTGATAACTGGAGCACACCCTCCTGTCTGCCATTCTGCAATCCCAGGCCTCCAGGTGACATTGAATAGGCAGGTCAACCGAGACATCCCAACAATGTCCAGAGCCTTCAGCATCTCAGGGCGAATCTCATCCACACCTTGCGCCTTGCCACTGAGGAGCAATCCTAACTACTTCAGAGAACTGGCAGAGGTTTCTGTGGTAGCTGTTAGACTTCTGATTGTATTTAACCAGTTTTAGGCTCAAAGAGGGAAAAAAAATATTATTATAATACAAACAGCATACCAAAAAAGAAAAAGGAATGTACATCTGTCTAGCTGTACCAATCATTTCATGACCCCTCAGATTTATGTCGTGATCCTTAAACTCCTGAACTGTATATAAAGTAGTTAAAACAAACTCCACCTCGACAAGCTACAACAGTGAAATGTTACTTATGTTTCAGGGGCATTTTCCTTCGTGATTATGGTTTCTTTAATGCTGCCAACAGTGTCTATTACATCACAGTCGTACCCATAATCACAGTTAAGAATTTCTACTCGGGTATTAGTGATATAATGCATGATCCCAACTGTGACAAACATTCAATCCAACATAACCACGGATGGCATGTGGTCAGGAGTTTGCTGGGCGGCTGAAAGAATGTTTAACTGATGAGACAAAAAACAAAACCTAATCTTTATTAACCCTTTCATACGAGGATTTCTCTGTTTTTTGACCCATGGGCCTCGTCTGTGGAGTGCTGGCTACCTATATCTATACATATACCTATAAAGATGCTATGTACTAACAAATATAAACTGACCTTACGAACATGGTTTGTTCACTAAAATAAAGCTGCAGTAGAAGTAACCCCCACCACCCCCACCCCCACCACCATACGATGACAGAGGAAACAAGACAGATTTCCTTCTAAGAAACTGTCAAGCACACGATTTAACCTCTATGACTTCTATTTCTGTCTTTAGTTATATTAAGAAAAGATATAAATAGCCTGATTTTGTGTATCTGCAATGCTATGACGCTATCCATGGTGCTGACACTCCCTCCTCCTCACCTAAAGTTCATTTTTATGTTGCTGTGATTCAGCAATTTTGCAAAGTGTGTAGCAGTGTTTTTTTTCTTTTTTGAAGTGCTGTATGTTTGTCAAAAGTTGAATCTATTTCAAGCTTTTATTGTGAAATCCAAGTGAAACCATTGGGATGGTAGGTGGCAAACAACTGCAAATGAATACGTCTTAAATATGAATGTTAGATTATTAAAACAAAAATAGAAGCATAATGGCAAACGTGAGCCATTCATACACCCAATGACCTTTTGAACTTTATAAATACATCCATAAATGCAGAGTTTATTCCAGGCTGAACGGTTCCTATACCTTCCTCCTGCATAATCTGTGAGTGTTGTTTGGAAAAACAGTATCGTCTGTGTATGAATGTGATTGATTGTACCTTAAGGCTGTTTTGCTGGAGGATTTACATACATTACATACAGTCTTTTCTTTACAGTAATCCATGTGTCACTGGCAAGTTTGTCGAGGTGAAACATGCTCCATGTATGTACATGAATTATGTGCATGTTTGATTCAAGTTGAGTGTTTCTTGCATGTAGTTTTATCATTTTTAAAGTTTCTGAATTTTTGTTTTGTTTCTGAGTTTGTATTTATTTATCTATTTTTGTCTGCTTCTTATGAATGTAGGCTACTTAGACTTCACTTAGAGCTCATCATAGACTAAGGAAGTTAGTCTGTTTCTATCTATCTACTGTTTTTTATTCTCCAAACTGTACACTGATGCCCCAACAGCAAGGATGCACTCACTGGTTTTCCCTGCCACAATAAAAGACACAAAAACTGATGCTATTTCAAGCCTTTTAACCCCTTAGTTACTGTATGTGTTCCTATTTACCTAATGCTTCTAAATATGAGAACAATAATCTTTCTAAGCAGATATGGCAACAGGGGTTTAAGTCATCTCCAGATACTGAGCCATAAAAAGTCACAAATAAGCATTTATGAGAATCTAAAGAGTTGATTGACTCACCCCATGGTTAACCTTTCTATCATGTCAGCAGAAAATGTGTGCGTGTGTGTGTGTTCATCAGAGAGCTATGAGTCTCTGATGGCCATTTCTGCACAAATCTAAACTTCTAATATTTAAAAAAGCGAAAAGAAATGTGTTTTCTTTCTTTAAAAGAAATTTTCCTCTTTCCTCCTCTCTTTCTGGCCAGCTGCCATGTGTTTCTCCTCCGCTAGGCGGCAGCATTGAGCCGTTGTCAGAGAACAAGTGTGAGACGCTGAAAGAAGAGAAGGAGAGAGAGAGAGAGAGAGAGAGAGAGAGAGAGAGAGAGAGAGAGGGGAGATAGATAGATAGATAGATAGATAGATAGATAGATAGATAGAGAGAGAGAGAGAGAGAGAGAGAGAGAGAGAGAGAGGGAGAGAGACCTCCAGTTCTTTAGTGGAAAAATCCCAAATGGGCAAAAATTCCTCTGAGAATTGTTCTTTATTCTACTCTGATGGAGGGAATAAAGGAGGAAAAGTCAGCAAAAGGGATGAAGAGGAAGGAGAAAGGGAAATGGGCATGCTGTATGCATGAAAAAGGGGCACAAATATGTAGATTAAAGCAAAGAAAAGGAGGGAAGAACAACAGCAGCAGGGACTAAATAATGAAAGAGAGAGACACAGAAGAAGAAGAGAAAGGGAGGAAGAGAGGATGAGATTAAAGGTGGATAGCAGAATGAGTAAAAAGAAGACAAACTAAGAAAGAAATTGACCAAACAATCATGAAACAAACTGCAGAAACTTAGACTCGCCACTATCTGAATGACCTTTGGCAGGTGTGTGTGTGTGTGTGTGTGTGTGTGTGTGTGTGTGTGCTGCAGCTGGGGTCAGGGTCTCCTCTCTGCCTCTCTGTTATAGAACGGCTGGTAATATTCCTGATCACACTCAGAGGACCTAATTGAAGCCAGTCATTTTCTTTGGAATGGAGGTGGCGCAGCAGCTTGCCGAGAACAGCCCCCGACTTCCCTCCACGCCTGCATCTGATTGATCTGATTGTTTTCTAAAGACTTAGGAAGGAGAGGCTGTGGCGAGGACAGGGACACGTGGTCGGGGGACGGGGAGTCAGAGTCGAACCCGTGACCTTTCCGGTGAAATGGATGCTTGAGTCAGTCGGTTCAGGTCATGGGAGTTTAAGTGATGCAGAGTGATGGGATGATGTGAACCCGCTGATTTTATACTTCTGAAGAAAGAGAATTGCTTGTATAAACAGGTTGTTAGAGATTTCATCTTAGACTATTTAGCCTAAAGAATGTTGGAAAAATCAGGAAAAAATAAAAGTTAAAGAATAAGAAAGAAAGAAAGAAAGAAAGAAAGTAAGAAAGAAAGAAAGAAAGAAACTTAATGAGCAGGACTCTCCTCTGTCTTATTGTTGAAGTGCCCATGAGCAGGACCCCTACACTGCTCCAATGTGTGTGAGAGTAAAAGATGAAGAGAATAAGGTGATAATCCATAAATTAAATGACTGATGAAGAGTTATGAATCACTGTTACATCGTGAGACCAACATTTCCACTCATTCAGACAGATTTGAACCATTTGGCACAGATTCATTTTGGAGCCAAATGATGTCGGTTTCGGTCCGTGGTCCGGGCATCGTGTCCCATGATGCACCGGGAACATGGACGGGAGAGAACCCGAAGATACTGAACTGAAGGAGCAGATTAGAAACTACCAATACGCACCGAACTCCGTGCGTAAAAGCGCGTCTGAGATCCACGGCACATTTGGAGTGAACCCGGATCATTTTACAGCAGTAACTCTCTTTCAAACTAACCACAATTCAATTTGTTATTGATTTGGAGTCTAATGCCTCGACTAGTCGGTAAAAATGAGGTTACATCAATCCTGATGTGTGCGCAGCGCCGTTATAGTCTGCAGGTGATTAGTTCAAGAGTGCGCACGTCCTGCACGGAGACAGAAGTCATAAAAGTTACTGCGAGCCCTGTTTCTCTCTCTCCCTCCCTCCCTCCCTCCCTCTCTTTCTCTCTCACTGGCGCTCAGCCAGCTCCAGCACGCTCCAAGCCTCCTCTCCTCTTGCGCCGCTTGCCGCTCACTTTACACCACCCCTCCTTCTGAGAGGAGAGAGGAGGAAGAGGAGGGGAGGGGAAAGGGAGGAGGAGGGAGGTGTGTGTGTGTGTGTGTGTGTGTGTGTGGGGGGGGTCCTCCAGGAGCTGAAAGAGGTGGGGCAGAGGGGAGGGATGGAGGGAAGAAGGGGAGAGCAGGAGGAGGGGGAGGGATGGAGGGAGGAAGGGGAGAGCAGGAGGAGGAGGGAAGGGGAGGGGAGTCTCTCTCCCCCTCTCTAGCCGACGCTGGAGTGAGGTGGGGTGGGGTTGGAGGGGGGCGACGGGAGCCCTTGGCCGCCTATTCGCCTTCCAGTTGCCTCTGCACTATATAAACACTCATTGGTGCCTCTGGCTTGACGCACACACACTCTTTACGCACGCACGCACGCACGCACCCACACACACACACACACACACACACACACACACTGAGGGTGACTTGTATAGGCAGCCAGAAGAGAGAGAGAGAGAGAGAGAGAGAGAGAGAGAGAGAGGAGCGCTCAGAAACAGAAAGGTACACAGAGAAGAGAGTGGACGACAGAAAGTAAGAGAAGGAGAAGGAGGACGGTGGCTCTTGAGCATCTCCTGCGCACCTATTCATCCCTGCACGCTCACGGATCTTAAAAGTCTACACTTTATCTTCCTCGTGTTTGCTTCAGAGAGAGATTAAAAACTTTTTTAAAGAGGCTTTTTTGAAAAAACTAAAACAAAACACTTTTTTTTTGGAGTTGAGAGCAGAGAGAGAGAAAGAGAGAGAGAGACGCGATTCCTGGAAGAGCTTTCGTTCATTTTTCCCCCCAAACCAAGTCTTTCCATCCCTCGAGAAGTTTTAAAAAGTAAAGCCCTTGTTAGTTCCAGGGCTCGGCTTCACTTTTTCCACGTGTCCCACGGTGTCCCAGCTTTTGACATAAACGTGTCACCTTGAGATTTTTGCTTGCCTTCAAGTTTCAGATAAAAAAAACAACAACTTCATTTTAAGTCACTGACCCACAAACGAGACCAAAAATGAGATTTCAAACATCAGGACAGTCCCCAGCCTTGTGTGATTGTTGTGCTAAATGCTTAAATCATTAAAACAAAGTGAGTTTTAATGGTTTTATTTTTCCACTTTACACGCTGAGGAGTGATACTGAAGATACGGGGAGCGCAGCTCACCTGTAGCATCTCCTCCGCTCAGGCGACACTTTGATTTGCACTTTTTACGCACAGAAACGCCACTTTGTGACTATCTATAGATAGAGATTCAATCTATCTGAAAGAAAAGATCGCACTCCACAAAGTTCATTCATTCTGAAAGCACACTTCCAGACGACTCAGGAGTGCGTAAAAGAGCGCTGCGCTTTTACGCAAAAAAACTTTCCAACTTTTAGATCATCCAGATCCGGATCCAGATCTACCCGTTTTTGTCTCGAATATAAACTTTAAAGAAACTTCAGCGCAACTTTCAGCAGCTTTTCTGAAAGTCGTCCGGAGCTCCAGAGAGACCGCCGGGCTCTCCATCACCATGCTGTTCGACAGTTTCGACCTCGTCTCGGCTCTGGCCACCCTGGCCGCCTGCCTGGTGTCCATGGCCCTGCTCCTCGCCGTCTCCCAGCAGCTGTGGCAGCTTAGATGGACGGCCACGCGGGATAAAAACTGCAAGCTTCCCATGCCCAAAGGATCCATGGGCTTCCCTTTCATCGGCGAGACCTGCCACTGGCTTCTGCAGGTAAGCGCGCCCTCGGGGCGGGGAGGGGGGCTTGGTGGAGCGCGACACGGTATCTGGGTCAGTGCGGGTCCCGGTGTCTGTGCCGGGGACTTCATCCGTTTATGGTGGAATCAGTTTTATCTGTTTCTTTGTTTGATTCTTTCAGAATTTCGAGACTTTTTTTTTGGGGGGGGGGGGGCATTTTGAGTTCATTCATCACTTTTACACTGTTTCACTGGTTTACTGCGCGCTCGTTGAACGGATCTCTGTCAGCAAGTTACTGATGAGTCCGTCTGCAGTGGGACATTAAGATCATCTTTATATACAGCAGAGCCGTTAACCACCAATACTGCTCATTTTCACATATTTTGCCACAAGCGTTTTAGCGTCCTGTCGGTGATGCTCTCAAACATCCACCAGTTCAAGCAACCAGAACAACTCAGATTTGTGCTTTTTCCACCATTATTCACAACTTTTATCAGTTTGTTCCAACATCCTACGATGCGCAGTGTCAAATCTACTCCCAAAGTCTCATCTCAGCCCGACAAATGTGCGTCTTTAGGTTTAATTTAAGCTGGTTCATTCTCATCCGGAGCGCATGTGATGCACACAGAGCGACTCCAGTCCGCGCGCAGCCGCCGGCAGCCACACACACACACACACACACACACACACACACACACAGGCGCGCACGACCATCAAAGACTTTCACCTCACTTTTGATTAGTTTATAGCCCTGCAATCTGTCTCCCACTCCACTGTGGCTCCACCAGGCGATCAGATCAGTGGCTTTTTTTTATTATCTCAGACGGGAGCGTGTCGGGTCAGCCAGCCGCGGCGCGACTCTCCCTGCGCGGAGGGGTCGAGCCGCAGTCAGGCTGATAGGCTATCCATCATATCTGATACTGCGGCGGGTAGCGACGGCGGGTGTCTCCCTGCAGAAGTCAAACACAGAATCGAAATGAAAGTTTTGCTGTTTCCGTGAGATTTCAAATTAAAGTTCAATGTTTAAACTGCAGAAATGAGAAGAATGTGAGAGAGGGAGTGAGGAAGGGGGGAGAGAAGTTGTGGGAGTTAAAGTGTGAAGGGTGAAGGTGAGGGTAAAGTGCACACCTCGGACTCTCTCTCTCTCTCTCTCTCTCTCTCTCTCTCTCTCTCTCTCTCTCCAGACAGCCCCGCTCCCTGCGGGCTCATCTCGGCTGCGTCCAAAAAAAGTTCCCAGCATGCTGCATGTTTCAGGAATCATCCAGCGACCGAGATTCCTCCTCTTACAAGCTGACAGACAGAAACAGGACAGTCCTGAGACATGCACGTGTTGAGCGCAACTTTTTCCCAGCTGTCAGTTGAGGGATAATCGATCTTTTATTGGTGCGATGCTTCACTCCTCTACCCGTTCCGCTCACTAACCTGAGGGACTGATCTTCTAATTAACATATTGAGTCCCGATCAATCGGGATATGTCCCACAATCCTTTGTGTGCAGGAGGAATGTGTCTGAATCTGTGCTTAACCTTCTACGTTTAGACAGAAAGAGAGAGAGAGAGAGAGAGATGTGGACAAAAGAGGGTGAGAGAGGGATTTTTATCAGCTGAGAGAAGGAAGCTCGCAGTTCGACCCCACCGGGCTGCACGCGAGTGCCGCTACTAAGCAGCGGTTGTCAGCGTGAACCGATGGCTCCCCGGAGCACGCCGACAGAAAGGGTGGGGGGGTGGAGAGGGAGAGGGAGAGAGAGAGAGAGGGGGGGGCAGAGAAAGAGAAAAACCTCCAAAAGAAAAGCAAAAGGGGGGAGGGAAAAAATGCGAAGCTCGACTAGCGGAGGCACGTTGGCCGTGTGCGGGGCTTGAACTCGCGGTGCTCCTCTCCGTTACATCTGACACTGAGCGAGACGCGTTCCCGGAATGCAACCGGGGACCGCGGCCAAGTTTATGGTGGGGGGGTTGGGAGGGGGGGTGAGGCATGTCAGTCAGATAGAGGAATGAAAGGCTGAGTGTGCCTATGCTTATGAGGACCAAATGTCCCCACAAGCAGAGCACAATGTGGCAGAATCCGCAGAGTGAGGAGAGTTCTGGTCTTTCACTGGACCGGGGTCTTGACCAAATCTGGAAGTGAAGGTTGAGAAGTCAGTGTGGTCAATGAAATGCCTCATGAACGCTGTTAAACTGTGTGCATGAGAGAGAGAGAGAGAGAGAGAGAGAGAGAGAGAGAGAGGCTGGGCTGCAGTCTAATAATCATCTGCTCTGTGGGGGAGGGAGACAGACAGAGATGGAGATCTGATGGGACCTTCTTGCCCAGATGCTGTTTTATGTCTCAGCTACTAGTCTGCTGCTTGATTGCTCGTGGAGAAGACATGTCACACGTGCCCAGAGACGAGTCCTCTCCCTGCAAAACCCGGGGGTGGGGCAGATGTTGTGTCCAAAATGTTAAGAAGTTCCTCAGAAGTCCCCCAAATGCAACTGCAAGTCTTGCAAACATTGTTTCTGAGACAAGATCTTCTTTAGGAAAGTTAAAAGTTTGTTCCAGGCGCAGAGATCCAGTAAGAGGAGACAAACCTGTCTTCGGCAAATAAAAGGTGAAATCCTTAAAAAAAAAAATGACAGCACTAGCTATTTGTTCAAAGTACTTGAGTAGCAAAGCAGAGGGTTCTTTTTTTTTAAATCACAGCTGGATTCTTAAACTAGAAAACTCTTAAGTTGATGTATTTTTAGTTGCTTGAACCTAAAAAAGAACTGTTGTTGCGTCACTCACAACCTATTCTGTCATTGTGGTTTGAGTGTTGATGGAATTGTTCAGGTTAATAGCATCTCTTGGTTTGTTTGTTCGGTATTCGTTACTTAAACCTGGGATAACAGATCTTTTTGGCCACATTGGGGCAGCAGAAACACGCGAACATACATCGACATATCACCTTTTTAAACTGTCAGCAAGCATTTGGAGCTTTTACTATTCACTCTCTTTTAGCTCTACTTTTGGTCTCCACCACCTCCTGAAGGAAATATCTGGTTCTTTAGCTGCTAAATGTCCACCAGCTAGTCTCTAACTGTGTGTGTCTGCTGTTCGGTGCTGAGTACGAAGTGAACTGCGAGTTTTTAGAGATTTTTTGATTAAAATGACACCATGAGAACCGTGAGAGTGAACCGAAACAGTACGGTTGTTACAATACTATCAGCATTAACATCTGTAAAGCAGAGGAGAGCTGCAGATTCAGGTTATAATTCTCTTTAGCTTCAACACTACGATTGACCTCTTTTATGTTGTTTGCACAATTATTTCTGTTGTTATAAAAATCTGCTTTAAGGAAAATATCGTAGTCTGAGCAAACTGCCAGAAAAACTTTTTTCTTTCATCTCGAATGTGTTCAGGTTTCAGAATTTAACTCACAATCTCTGTTGTTCTGTTAGTTTCCTCTTTTCCCTTAACGCCTCTTCCAGGTTTCTTCCATTAACACTCTTTCTGTTTTAATGTGAGTGTACAGTGTAGTTGTAACTCCACACACACACACACACACACACACACACACACACACACACACACACACACACACACACACACACACACACAGCAGCAGCAGCACATTTTTGTGATGGATCCATTTTAAAGCGATCTGCAGTTAGGAATAGTTTTATGGTCACTCTGCCAAAGACCTGTCTGCTCTCATTAGGAGCTGGAGCTTTCTGAAGGGACGGTGCCAAGCAGGAGCGTTAGTACCGAGCGACACACACACACACACACACACACACACACACACACACACACACACACACACACACACGCAATGAAACACCACCTACATGGTGTAGATTCATGTATATCGAGATAAACATGCATTAGTTATTTACTTTTATTTCCTGCTGGATGAAAGCTGGTGGCACTATTTATACTATGAATTTCTTTATTTATTTGTGATATAACATTCATTTTTCTTGTATTTTCCTGTATTTACAAATTGCACGCTCAAGATTTGCTTGATTTGAAAAATGAAACACCCCATTTTGAAACTTTAGGAAGTTAAAAGCCAATGTCAGAGTGAAAGACAGCAGTGGTTTCTAAACACCAACATGCATTTTATGTCAAATACACAATTCTCATGATCTATATGAGTGTCAACCTTTGAAAATGAAAGCAGTTACCTGCTGCTGCCACTTGGGGTCACCAAAGTGCAAAGTTCCCAGACGTGGTTTTTGAATTAATTGATGGTTTGGATGTGAAATTAAAAGCAATCTTCTGGATTATTGGTATTAGTACAGGGTTACTAATACAGTGTTCTAAGATTTCTGGGTAATGAAGTTCTTCAGACCTCCAAAAAACACACGTATGCGCACCGGGATCTGCCGCAGCGCGAGTTTCCTCGTTTGATGGAATCGATATCGACACACACAGACTCACACGTCCACAGATGCTGTTCCCAGTCAACGAGGGGAAACCTATCTGGATAGGGCTTCTCCTGGGTTGGTCCTGATACCACACACACGCACGCACACACACACACACACACACGCACACACACACACACATACATAAATGCACACAAATACACACACATGCGGTGCAGACAGGCTGGACTGAATCTGGGTCAGACCAGAGGAAATGAACACATGGCACAGAGACTCAGACTGTACTTGGTGTTTGTGTGTGTTGTGTGATTTAAGTTTGTGAATGAGCCTGAGCCAGAGAGAGCCCAACACACACGCACACACGCGCGCACACACACAAATACACAGTACATTTCAATGCTGAAGGTGCAAAGTTTTTTATCAGTGATTGTTTCCTCATTTCATAATTCGTCCAATTTGGCCTTCAGCAGTTCGGACAAACGTTAGCAGCAGCTCACATACATCACACACATATGCATATCTACTGTACACACACACACACACACGCACACGCACACACTAATGCGTTGACCTTCTGTCTGCCAGGCTGTCTTCTTGTCTCTGTCTGTTTTGCAGTGATGAAGTGTAAATGACGGTGGGCAGAGTAATAACAGTCCTGCAGACCAAACACTCTCTCATCTCACACAGCGAT